TGTGTGTGTGTCATTCCTCCACCATAGGTGAGTGTGTCGCTGTGTGTGTGTCATTCCTCCACCATAGGTGAGTGTGTCGCTGTGTGTGTGTCATTCCTCCACCATAGGTGAGTGTGTCGCTGTGTGTCCTCCCTCATAGGTGTGTGTGTCGCTGTGTGTGTGGCTGTGTGCTGTGTGTCTCTCTTCGTGTCGGAATTTCGCGTTGAATTCCCTGCGTGTTGAATTGGCTCTTGCTGCATTGAAGAGACCGGCCTACTGTGAGGGCATTGTACATCTGGTCTACAGACACATTTATTGAAATCCGGTTTGACAAAAATGCAAGTTGTGGTTTCCAAAGATACTCAAACTTTGAAAGTTATCAAACTTTGACTAGCATTTTCTGGTTGATTCTACCTCAGACACAGGACAACCCCCCCACCCCCCACCCCCTTCACTCGCAAATATCTTGATGTCTATTCAAGATAGATCGGTTTTTTTTTCTTTTAAAGAAATACAAATGAGCTAAAGACAAATGAGCAAAAGACAAATGAGCAGGCTGTGAGATTATACCCACAACTTTATGTACCAATAATTGAGGAGCGTCCGATTCCTCCATGTCGTGACACACATCTGTAATTGCGAGTGTGGTTTGTGTGTTTTCCTCAGATACCCCGGTCCCGGTGGTGTCCATAGACTTCTCTCCCTTTGGCCAGCCGTACTTTCTGGTAGGTCTGAGGCGTGGGTGGGTGGGGTAGGGTAGAACGTTTTCAGCTTTGTCTTTTTATCTGGTAAAGATTCAAGAGTTTCGTTTCCTTGTATTTTTGTTACTGGCTTGAACCAATGATAGTTTCATTTGGTTGGGTTCTAGTTATTGACCTTGATAAAGATTCAAGGTTTATTTTTTTATTTTGTTGTTGTTGTTGATGAAAAAATATGGGGTATGTCAGATGTTTATTTCTCAAATTTGGTTGGCGGGTGCTTTGGTGTCGTCTGGTTCTTGTTTCCTGTCAAACATCTATCGTCCTTATCTCTCCTCCTTCTTTCCTTTCAAACATCTGTCGTCCTTATCTCTCCTCCTTCTTTCCTATCAAACATCTATGTCCTTATCTCTCCTTCTTCTTTCCTATCAAACATCTATCGTCCTTATCTCTCCTCCTTCTTTCCTATCAAACATCTATCGTCCTTATCTCTCCTCCTCCTTTCCTATCAAACATCTATCGTCCTTATCTCTCCTCCTCCTTTCCTATCAAACATCTATCGTCCTTATCTCTCCTCCTTTTTTTGTTTGTTTGTTATTCCCTCGTACCACCTCTAATCTTGGGCATTTATATGACCTTATTGTCTAGCATGTACTTAAACACAACGTAAACACAACAAGCCAAATTGTGATGACCTCTGGCCTGTAGTGACCTCTGTCTAGTTCTGACCTCTATCCAGTTGTGGTGACCTGTAGTGACCTCTGACCTGTTGTTTCCCCAGGCCGGCTGTGATGACGGGACCCTCCACTTGTTTCATACAAAGATGGGTGAGTTGGGAGTGATGAGTCATGAGTTGTGAGTCAGTGATGAGTCGTGAGTAGTGAGTGAGTAAAGAGTGATGAATGATGAGTGATTTTCCTGCAGAATGATCTGCTGACAAAATGAGTTACTTCTCAGATTTGACCCTCAATGGGAATTCAAACATCGAAGGTGGAGTTTGAACAATTTATAAGTTAGAAATAAATCAGAAATTGGCATCAATTGAAGATGTGCAAATTTAGCGCTCAGTGTAAATTTTCGGATGATTTCCACTTTGGTGGATTGTGAGAAGCAAGTCATTTTGCCTGACCCCCAGACCTGTGATTTCTGCTCCGTCAATCTCTACCCCTCCCTCTCCTCCCCAGAGCACCCGGTGGCGTCGTGGCGAGAGTTTGTGTCAGGGGAGAGAATCCTGAGTGTGCGCTGGTCTCGCAGCCGCCCGGCCGTGTTTTTTGTGCTGGACAACAACTCCACGGTTTTCACCTTTGACCTTGTGGAGAACGGGCTGGCGCCGATGAAGACAGACCGCATCACAACAGCAGAGTGAGTTGCTGCTTTGTTGTTTGGTGGTTTTTAGTTGTAAATTTTCCTGTGCAAATGTGAAACATAGGACGAATGTCATGAAACATAGGACAAATGTCGTGAAACATAGGACAAATGTCGTGAAACATAGGACAAATGTCGTGAAACATAGGACAAATGTCATGAAACATAGGACAAATGTCATGAAACATAGGACAAATGTCGTGAAACATAGGACAAATGTCGTGAAACATAGGACAAATGTCGTGAAACATAGGACAATTGAACTTTTTAAAATGTAGATATCTAGAAATTACCCTGAAAAGCCAAGGGTCAGTATTAATTTTAAAAACTTGAATATTTTTTTTTTAATTCTTGCTATGCAACGATGTCAATGATTGACCCATTGTATGTTGTCTGCCTGCTGACTGTACTGTCCCCGTAGACTGTGTCCTCAATTGAAGAAATTTCTTTGTTCCTTTATCAGTGTTTGAGTTAATTTATGTATGGTACGGGGCAACTGTTCTTCAAATCTCTATGCAAAATGGTAGGTCTATCTATCCCAAAAGTATTCTTTTTTAAGTCCTGTTTTTTTCCCTCATAAATTTGTGAAAGAAACGGAGCAAGTTGTCTGGAGACTGGAGTTCTTTAGCGTCATGTTCTGGCTTTTGTGGAAGGAAGTTTTACCGTTGGAAGTTTTGCTTTGAGCTTGGGTTTCTCATTCATTGGTGTTGGGGTCTTTTGTGGTCTGGAAATCTGTGTTTTTTCATGTGAATATTAATTCATAGGGTGGAAATCTGTGTTTTTTCATGTGAATATTAATTCGTAGGGTGGAAATCTGTGTTTTTTCATGTGAATATTAATTCGTAGGGTGGAAATTGTGTTTTTTCATGTGAATATTAATTCGTAGGGTGGAAATCTGTGTTTTTTCATGTCAATATTAATTCGTAGGGTGGAAATCTGTGTTTTTTCATGTCAATATTAATTCGTAGAGTGGAAATCTGTGTTTTTTCATGTGAATATTAACTCATAGGGTGGAAATCTGTGTTTTTTCATGTGAATATTAATTCATAGGGTGGAAATCTGTGTTTTTTCATGTGAATATTAACTCATTCGCTACGTGGTCGAATTTTTTTCGGGAGGGCGAAATGAGATGATGACTAGTGCGCAGTTCATAGGTCTTGGGGGCCATAAATTCAAATAAATATCAACATATTATATACCAGCATTTTCAGTATGGTTTGTAGAATACAGCTGCATTATTCATTTGTGTATTTTTCAACTTTGGTTCCTGTAAGAGGCGATTATGCAACACAATTGTGATTGGCTGCGGATAAAATTTGAAAACAAAAAATTTATAATCTCAGGTGAAACTCAAAAAATATGTTTGCACCTAGTCAAATGATACATCAAAATAACCATAACTGTATATAGAACTGGAGAATATTGAAAAATGAGCAGTTATTTACATACATTCCATAATATTTGAACATTTGGATCATAACATACGATATTGAAAAAAAAAAAATTTAAAAATAATTTTGAAAAAAGGATCACAAACAGAAAAAAACACTTGTATCTTATATGGAATTATCCAGAATTGCATTTGGAATAAACCTATACATGTCTTGGGTGGTACTTTTTGAGAAAATTCACCAAAAAATAGTGATTTTGGGGAGAAAAAAAATATTTTGACTATTTAGATCTAGGCCTAGATCTAGCACTCAAAAATATTGATTTCTCAATTACAGTGTACTGGCAATTTGCGTCCAGTAGTATCAATATTATAAAGAAGAGTCCTACATTTCTTTAGTGGGCAAAATAATTATACATTTTGTTGTGTAAAAGTACAAAGACTGGTGTCTGGCTATAATTTGGGCTTTGCGATTAAACAGTGTCGCATAAACTTCGATATCGTGTTTCAAAACTGAATCAAAACTTCTGATTTTCGGTGGAAACGCTTGACCCGGAAGTCAACTTTATAGTATGACCTTTATTTTAACATGGATATGTGGATTAGAATAGAAACCAAGCTAAAATTGAACGTCGGTTCTCGAGCGTAGCGAATGAGTTAATTCACAGGGGGGGGGGGGGG